GCAAACATGGCAATTGTGACAGTTTTTCCCTCCCCCGTGTCAACTTGTAAAAGTCTTCCTCGATCGGACCGGGCATTCAGAAGACACAGCAAGGCTAACAGTTGCGCATCTCTCGGTGTGTATCCATGCGTCAATTGGACGCCTCTCATCAAGACAGCTATCAGTGTGTGCAGATGCAGTGGAACTGGAGATTCCTTCGTCCTTACATCATTTGCCCACTCCCGAATTTGACTCTTCGTCCACTTGTGCACATTCTTGTATTCATCCCATACTTTTTCAAGCTCCATTTCCACATCGGAATCATTCAGATAGGAGATATTCTGATGCGCGTTAGTGGTTACTAGTTCGGAGCACAATTTACTCCGCGACTTATCTTGAGCCTCGGGAAACGTGCAACGAATGGCCAACTGATGCACTCTTTGTTGTAATGTCTTGGTATCGACGTACGCTAACTGTTCGAGTAAATTTGACAGTGCTACATCTGTATCAAACTCTCTCAATCGGAAATCAGCGATTATGTCAAAAGCACAAAGAAGCTGCGAAAGCCGGGTGGTAGAGTTAACGTTTCGCAGCGCCATTCTGATCGAATCATGATGCCATCCGGCGGCAAAAAGTAAACGCGATTTTTCTAAAATCACGTTCATCTGGGCAGTTTTGAGTAACGGTGTTTGCTCAATTCGTATCATTTTCTCCGGGGCCAGATTGAAATGTACATACAACTTTTCATTCTCTTCTTGACAGTTCGAAACTCCAAGCTGTTCCAGTATATTCCTATGTTGCAGTGACGAGAGCGTGATAGCCGGTTCGGGTGTCTCTGCGGTGACGTTTAATGACCTCAGATCGGTCGCATTCATAATGATCTCGTTCGAACTGACCGTGGGTTGCGCACAGTTTACAAACAATTGCAGAATGCGGCGGGTGATATCTTGCACCACCAGAAAGTCAAATTCAACCGAACGAAACACATAGTCATAATCCACGGAGTCCGATAAGAACATTTCGTTTGGTGGAAATCGACAAGAGATGACAATTTGTGCTACTTCCAACTCCTCGGTTTCATCATCCACTATTTGTATGGAGCAGTATTTGAGCAAACGTTGCAAAGCCTGTTGCACCGCTCGCATTTCATTCTGGAGCTTATTTACAGCGATTTTCTGTCTGTAAGGTCGACAAACGGTCTGTGCGTACACCGCCGGAAATGTGTTCTCCCGATGATTGTCAGCTTCCACATCCGTAATCCGATTGAACAGT